CATCCCGCCGCCCATCCCGCCGCCGCCCATCCCGCCCGGCATGCCGCCGCCCATGCCGCCGCCCATCATGCCCGCGATGCTCCTGAAGAAGGCGTTGGCCTCCGTCTTGGAGACAAAGCCGTCGCCGTCGACGTCCATGGAAGCAAACGCGTTGTCCGTCTCCTCCTTGCCCTTGGCCCCGCCGCCGCCCGCCTGCTGTGCCATCGCCATGAGCTCCTCCTTTGACAGCTTCCCATCCTTGTCCTTGTCGAGCATGGGGAAGAGCATCTCCCCCATCGCGTCGCCAGATGGCATGCCGCCGGCGCCCGGTGCGGGCTTCTTCTTCTTCTTCTCGGGATGCTTGGCCTCGTACTTGGTGATGGCGTCGTGCTCCGTCGCCAGCGCGCGGAGAGCCTCCTTGTCCGCGCCCGCAGGCACGTCAATGTCGAGGTCGGCCAGGATCTCCTTCAGCTGCCGGGCGGTCTTCATCCGAACCGCCTTGGCATCAGCGGCCGAGGCGGCGGCGGCGGCCAGCGTGGCGACGACCAGCGTCAAAGCGGTCCGCATACTTATCGAGCGAGCTACGGGTGGTGGTGGCCGTCGGTGGGTGGCCGTCGGTGGATGGCAGTCGGCTCCAGCTCCTCGCCCGAGCCGAGCGAGTTGACGTGGAAGCGCGCGGAGTTGCGATTTTTGCGATTTTGCGTTTTTCTCTTAGGATCATCAGTCCCCACAATGTTGCGGGATCGCGGGAAATTATTTCTTTCTTCGCGCGCCATCACTGGAACTCCCGCTCGCGGGCCGCATTCGGCACGCCTTGCAATGTCCTCCGACGCCGCGCGGCACGCGCAGCTCGAGGCCAAGCTCGACTCACTGGCTTCGCTGAGGCAGGAGGTGCAGCGCCTCTACGAGTCAACGCGCGCCGAGCTTTACGCTGTGCGCGAGGAGGTGTGCGCCGCCAGCCCGGCTATCAACCCGCCGTTTTCACGCACACCGACCGACCGGCGCCCCGCTGCGCAGGTGACGCGCGAGCGGAGGGCACGCGTCGCCCTCGGAGCGGAGAACGCACGGCTGCAGGAGTGGAACCGAGAGCTGTCTGCGCAGCTCTCGAGCCTGCTCGGTGACCTCGGCGCTGCCGCCGGCGCAGCCGCCTCGCCGCATGCGCCGCCGCTGCTGCGCGAGTCGCCGCCGCTGGAGCCATCGCCGGCGGCGCCGGCCTCCGAGCCCGCCGCCGGCGACGGCTTCGAGCCGGCGCGGGCAGAGCAGCGGCTCCGACTCGAGCTCGCTTCGGTGGCGGTGGAGCGGGCCAAGCTCGAGGCGGCGCTGCAGCAGGCGCGGAGGGGCGCCGAGGAGGCGGAGGAGCGGTGTGGCGCCCTCGCGCGCAGCGGCGAGGCGCGATGCTGCGCAGCCTCACCGCCACTGCTCTTCCCGGACACCTCCTAGACACTTCCGGGTTGGCGCTTCGTAGGAGATGCTGCGCGACCTCGCCGAGGCGGGCGCGCGGGTGGCGCAGCTCGAGCGGCACATTGCGAGCCAGGCGGAGGCGGAGGCGCAGCTGCGCGAGGCGCGCCGGCAGCAGGCGGCGCTGGTAGCGGACCTCGAGGCGGCCGAGGCGCGCGCGGCCGAGGCGCAGCGGCTGGCGGAGCGGGCGGGGCGCGA